GTTCGGCTAGTCTCTCTATTAGCCGATGCAGAATGGGGGCAGCGGCTGATTCTGAAGGAATCTGAAATAAAAGGCCACCGATTGCCTGAAGAAGACTGTCTGAGAAGTCTGATCCCAGGTCGGAGAGAGGTCGGTCGGTGGCCTGAGCAATTATGGTTTGGATGTTTGCCGAAATTGGAACAGCCGACAGAGGAGCTAGATCAAGATGCCCCTGAGAGAATGGATTTTTGTTTGTTTAGATCATATGAAGCGCAGAAACAAGTATTAATTGTGATAACTCTACTTACTTCTGGGTAGATCGTGGTTTCAAAAGGTGCAAGGACTATTGTGGGTCGGAAAGAAGGGATGACTGACATTGCAATGGCCGACTCGTCGGCTACTTCGAATGGACGTTGCGGTATTGACCTGGATCCCTGCAAAGTGAGATATAGAATATTCAATATGGGTTGAGATGTTGGTTTTTAGTAAGGAAAAGAAATTTGAAAGGTTTTACCAAATTTACAGAGGTCTCCGAATCAGAAGAAGGAAGCTCTTCTTGTTCCTGCAAGAGACCTCTTGGTTGGATGGCTGTGGGTTCTTCTTCCCGCCTGGCCTCCTCTGGAATAGGGTCTGGTGCTTTTGGTTGGACGGCTACAACGAGCAGGTCGGGCGCGACTGGGACGGCCACAGCGGGTTCGTTGGCTGCGACTGAGATAGTCGCAATGGGTTCGTCGGCTACAACTGAGACGGCCGCATTGGTTTCGTCGGATGCAATTTGGGCGGCTGTGTTTAAGACATCCCTATCAGTTGGAGCGACTGCATCAGAAGCAACTCCAACAGAGGTACCTGCAACAGAGGCGACCGCGGCAGAGGCGGACGCAGGTGTTGCGATCGGTTCTTCGTTCGGGGAAGATGAGTCTGAAGCTACATATGGCATTCTGCCCATTTGAGAAGCAGTCGCCTCACTAGCAGAGACAACCTTAGCTAAAGCCGGTACTCGAGAGGATTGTTTTTTGGTTGGAGCCTCTTCCCGACCACTTGTCACCAGGGAAGGAGGGGACCACCTCCTAGTCGGGTTCATCCTCCGACCAGCCATCAGAGAGGCAAGCGTAGGTTCGGCTGGTGTTGAGTTAAGTGGAACGGTCGCCATGGCTGAGGTCGGGCCTGATAGCAAGAACGATAAGTTAAAATCTAAGGAAAAAATTAGATTAAGATGGGGCTTTGGAAAATACCTAAACGGGGTCGGGTCTTTACTGGCACTCGACCTGATGGAAGGTCTTTCGAAGTCTCCTGGTCTTTTTTAGGGGTCGAGGCTGTATGAATTTGAGAAACTTTTCTTTTTCTTTGTGGGGGGCTCGACCCGGTGACTGGGGTGGTTACTTTTCTTTGGGTGTTAGTCAATGGTGCCGTCCTTAGCACCAAAGCAGGTTGGGGCAAGAGAATGCTCAACAACCGTTCTTTGTTAGGAGCAATCAGGGCCCACGCAACCGACCACCATTCACGGAAGGATTCCGCAGAGTCGGGAGAAGAATGGAAGGGGATGTAAGAATTGGAAGTTATGTAATTCGTGAGTTGGGAAATATAAGGAAAAATCAACTCAGGGATGACTCGCCTATCCGCGCTTTGAGGTATCAGGTGTGGATGGGCGAGGGGGCCAGGTAAGCCTTGACGGCAGCCGAATTGGCGTGCCAAAAATTGAGGTCGATAGCTGAAAGTATAAAAAAAATTTATGGCCCTTTTTATCAAGTTTCTTATTTACAAATAAAGACCTAGGTTTAATGGCTGAATCCCAGGAAAAAAGGGTAAGTTGGATGAGGAAGAGGGTCAGGTTCGGCCATGGGTGAAGATACAGGGAAAGGCCAAAAAAGACCAGACGCGTAGCCCACGTATTTTCTATATACGTAAAAGCGAGAATTGCTACGGACGTCGGTCAAGATAGCAGCAATGATGGGGTCGGATGATTGGAGTTTATTACAACCTAGGCAAAGTCGGTTAAGGGCTATTCCCAACGACTTGTCGGATGTTGGGGCAACAGTAGGGTGGCCAAGTTGGTATGCGTCGGGAAAATAGAGTCGGAACCAAAATTCCAGAAACCACAATGGTCCCGATGCGGAGGTATCTAATTTCTTGCTATCTTTATCTGCAAGGCGGATGCTAACCCTAGACAGACCTTCAAAAAGATTGGCTAGGAAGAGAGTGCCAAGGGAAAAGAAGCGCCTTGATGCTATATGAATAGCCAGGTCGAGATGAGAAGAAAGGACACTTTTAGAAGGGGAGACTATGATATACCTGCAGAGCCAGAAGAGAATAAAGGCAACATGTTTGCGGTCGGTTACAGGGGTTCCGATTGCCCCTTGCTGGTCGGTTGCAAATCTAGTCCAACCCCATTCTTTAATGCCAGCAAAAGACCAGCCTACATGGTTCGCATCTGGTTTTTGTCCATCTATGGCTCCCATAACAGGATCTTCACCCACAATAGGAAGATGAGCGATCATGGCCACGTCCATGAGAATTGGGCCAACGGGGCCTATCGGTAGGAGTAAGATACCCATTTCCGAATGCCAGAAAGCCGCTATCGCCAGGAGCACTTTTTCGTGCAAGTGAAATGGGAGCGTCGAAAGGAATATCGCTTGGTCAATATGTTGGCTTTTCCATTGGTACTGAAAACGCTTTGCCACCCTGTTATACCAGACACGGTAGGGGTCTTTAGGGTCCGTCAGATGCGTTTTGATGTTGTCTTGGAGGCAGAGAGCATTGTAATCGGAATTGTTGATGACGAGGGGGTTTCCTGCTTCCAATACCTCCCTCATCCGATTGGAGTCTTCAGGAGTCGTGCAATACGGGCGAATAGTCGGAGTCAACATTTTCGACGCCGCGAATGATACTTCCGGGGTGGTTCCGTCAAAAGGAAGTGCAGGTACATATTGATTCGCCTTAACTTGAAATCGTAGTGAAACAGGGGAAAGTAGACACGGTAGGGAAGATTATAGATTGCGAACTTCCAAATGACGATTGAGGAGTGACGTTTGAAAGTCCGATGGCGGTGGGCAAGTTGTTACGTACGAATTTTATAATTAGGTTAATGGCCTAAGATATAGGGAAATTTGGGCCTGTAATCAAGTACGTTTGGCGGTTAAGAGATTTTCGGGGTGATTGGTTAGACCGGTTGTCCTTCCGAGCGGATAAGCGGGTCGGAAGGTCCGCGGTCGGATAAGCAAGTCGGAAGGTCCGCGATCGGACAGGCAGGTCGGTTGGTCCGTAGTCGGATAAGCAAGTCGGAAGGTCCGCGGCCGGACAGGCAGGTCGGTTGGTCCGCAGTCGGATAAGCAGGTCGGAAGGTCCACCGTCGGACAGGAAGGTCGGTTGGTCCGCAGTCGGATAAGCAAGTCGAAAGGTCCAATCGGACAGGTAGGTCGGTTGGTTCGCAGTCGGATAAGCAGGTCGGAAGGTCCGCGGTCGGACAGGCAGGTCGGTTGGTCCGCAATCGGATAAGCAGATCGGAAGGTCCGCGGTTGGATAGGCAGGTCAGAAAGTCCGCGGTCGGATAGGCAGGTCGGTTGGTCCGCTTTCGGTTGGTTCACCGTCGGTTGGTTTGCCGTTGGTTGGTTCGTAGTCGGTTGGTCCGCCGTCGATTGGTTTGCCGTCAGATGGTTTGCAGTCGGGTGGGCCGGTCGGTTGGTCCGTAGTCGGTTGGCCCGTGGTCGGACCAACTAAAGTCGGGCGAAGACAGAGGTCGACAGAATACAGAGGTCGGCTAATTCGGAGGTCGCACCAAGTGAGGTCGGACGAAGAAGAATGAGACAGACGATACGAGGTCGGACAAGAGACCAGATGGTGGTCGCTTGGTGGGGCGGCCAAGAAGTCGTTTGGTCTAGCAATCAGTTAGTCTCTGGATTGGTCGGTTGGGTTACGCGGCTGGTAAGATGGTTGAAAACATGTGTCAACAAAAGAGAAATTAGTAGACGGTTGAGAGTAGGTGTTGTAATCGTTCGGGCGACGGTTCCAGGTATCATTTCTGAGGAATATTTAAGGATTGGGGTCAGCAACTGGCAGGGTATCTTCAATCATCTTCAAACGACAGCAAAGTCAGTGATTCAGGGATCATCCTTTAATTTTCAGTCTGTAGCATTTATCTTCCAGTGTACTTATGTACCGTACAGTGTTTAGAGATTCTTAATCTCAGGCACTAATTATATCAAATTCGGAGATAATTTCTTATTTTCGGATTCTACTTTGTTATTGTTGAAAAATTGCATCAACAGTTACAAAAATAATTTTTTCTTGTAGTGTTTTTTTAGTCAGAGATACCGTATTTTAGGTAGTGTAATTTAGAAGTTAATTATAGTAGTTATAATATTATTTTGTTATTTTTTTTATATAAGTGTTCTTGTTACTATTTTTAGCATAAAAATTAATATAGATATAATTAAAAAAATTAAAATAGATATTTAAATATTTTAAACAACATGTCTAAATAAAATATATAATAGGGATATTATTTTGTAAAGAATAAATTTTATATAATACAAATAAATAACATAGATATATACTTTTTTTATCAATAATTAATATAAATTAACTTATAAAAAATAAAAGTTTAAAATATAAATAAAAATATTTGTTTATTGAGAATAGTTGTAAGAGATTTGTAATTTAATTAAATTAATTTATATTTGTTAAATTTACTAAAATTAAAAAAAAAAACATCACTACCAAAAAAACAGGGTTATAACCACCGGTTGAACGTTCGTAACAAAATTATTGTAACAAATATATATTTTGGTTAAGATAAAATCTGTGACAAAAGAATTTTTGTTCGGTCAACGTTCCGGCACAATAGTTACGCAAAATTTTACGTAACAAGTAGGAATATGGTAAACTTTAGTTAGAATAATATTAATTATGATCACTTTTCGTAACTAACGATATTAATTTATTTTTTTTTCATTTAGATTTAATATTTGAAATTTTTTAAAAAATAAATATATATATAAATGCGCATTGTCGAGTCTTTCACCCAAAAATCTCAGCGATAATTCTGTTCTTATTCTCAGTCGTCGATACCTTATTCCCCCGTTGCTCTGGTGGACAGCCCCGGTTTCCTCCTCTAGAGCCGGCGGCGAAGCCCCTCCATCCCTCCCTTTATACCCCTACAGCCCCCCGTTATATTCCCTACCCTCTCTGTTCATAGTGCTACCGTCCGCCTGGAGATTGCGCCTCAGTCGTGGCTGCTTCAGTAGCTCTGTGGATTCTCTCCGTCGCTGCTCCCTGTCCGATCCCCTTCCTGGTTTTCTTGTGTCTTCAGCTTCCGTTAGGCATCGAATTCAGTCCGTCGTCGGCCCTTTTCGTCTCTTCTCCGGTGTCTTGTCCTCCTCGCCACTCAGGTAAGCGTTGCTCTCCTCCTGGCTGGCGCCTGTGCCCCAATACCCATTCCCTTGTCGCGCCTTAGGATTGGCCCTCTTCCCCTTCCCCGTAGTTTCTCTTTTGTGCTCTTTTTCGTGTGGGGGACTCCTGGTGATGGAGTTTTTTTTATTTTATGAGATTGGCTATATTTTTGGGGCATATTGAATGATTTTGTAATGGTGTTGGGCGAGATGAACCCCTCAGAGACTGCCAGATTGTTCTCTTATGCTGAGGCAGTTGTTCCTAAAGAAAGCACTCAAGGTGCTCGACAAATTGCCAAAAAGGAATTTTCTTTTTTGGTGGATCCCATACCCAAGATTTTATTGCTGAACTTCAGGATACCAATGGCGATACAACAGTGTTCTTTGAGGATGATGCAATTGATCAATTATCTGAAGCCTTTCGATTCACGCTGATTGGCAAATTCTCCCATGGATTCTCTTCTTGGATTGATATTGGAAATGGTTTTGATAATCTCAAGTTGTTTGGAAAGTTTAGCATTCAGAGGCTGAACTATAAACACATTCTGATCCGGCTGACTAATGAGGATGACTACACTCGGGTTTGGTTGAGGGGAATATGGTATTTCAAAGGATTTTCGATGAGAGTTATGAAATGGTCCCCAGATTTCACTCCTAATGTCGAACCTCCTTTAGTTCTAGTTTGGATTTCCTTACCTCTTCTACCTGTCCAACTCTATCACAGAGATGCTATCTACACCACTGCCTTAGCTATTGGTACCCCTTTGAAAGTGGATACTCCTACAACAAACCTTGGTAGAGTTTCGAATGCAAGAGTGTGCATTGAAATTGATATCTCCAAACCTGTGAAAGAATCCATCCTTCCGAAGTTTAAAGGTATAACAATCTCTCAAAAGATTGTTTATGAGAACCTTCCGAAGTATTGCAACCTTTGCAAGCACATCGGTCATGAAGAACTTACCTGCAGGGGTGCGAGTAATAACTCATCCAAGTACTATTTCACCTCATCTAGGATGAAACAGAGAGATGAGGTTATTCCCTCACATGGTAGGATGATGCGATCTGGAAATGAGAGGAATAAGAGTGCCCCCCACCAGACTAAGGCAAGTTTTTCTTGGAGGCAGCCCCAGCCTGGAAAAGACAAAGGGAAACAGGTTGCTAAGGAGGATGATCTGCGTCTCCTCCTTAATGCTAAAAGAGGAAAAGATCACATCCATTTCCTTTCCACTCATGAGGACCTCCCTTCCACCTCGGGTGCTGGTTATGGATGTGGTTTGAAGCAAACCTCAAACCCGTTTGCTCCTTCAGGTGTTGACCGTGATCAAGACCCTGCTCAAGAACTTGATAATGATGGATATAAGGTCTCAGAAAATCAAGATTGTATTACTGTTGAAGGTGAGATGGAAGGAAAGGGTGGCAAGTATCCTGCTTCTACCGTTTTGAAAACAACATGCTTAGAAAGTCTTGAAGAAGCTGAAAGAAAAGAGACCTTTACTGATGAGGAAGCATCTGGCTCAGAGGATGGCTTAGAAGGCACGAATAATCCTAATACAGAGGAGGAAAGAAACTCGGCAGATGGTGATTCTTCTGATCAAGACGATGGGAACTATATGGCAGAAGAAGAGTATGATGATATGGAGGATGAGGATGGAGAGGATTCAATGGAGAATGACTGTGACAGTGACTACACTCCTCTTATCATGGATACACTTTCCAATGAACTTATGATGAGACATGCAGCCTCTAATATCTTATCCCAAACCAATTGTGAAATTGGTGCTCAATATGAGGAATCTGCTGTGTACGGCTCTCAAGATCAACTCAAGGAAGACTGCATCTTTAAGGACAAAGATGCTGATAGACAATATCACTCAGATGGAGTTGTCAGTAACCGGTTGGATAGAGAGGCTTTGGAGGAAGTTAGAGATGCTAGTTATAGCATATATAAGAACAATTCTTGTATGAGGGATGATGATTTGGAGAAACATATTGATCATACAAACATTCAATTGAAGGAGCCTGACAATATGTGGTATGCTCTTAACTCTGTTCCAACTGACGAAGCTGAGTTGAAAAAGGATCAGTCTGCAACACCGTCCAAGCATGAAAAGGAAAACATAATTTAGGATGCGCGTACAATCCTCAGCATGGTATCAACACCTTTATCCCTTAGACCTCACACCAGAAGCTTTGTAAAAAAAATCAATCTTCTAGCGGTTTCAGCCGCAAACTTGCAGCTCCCATCTCCCCAAGATTTTCCATGAATGATTTGAAAATGTTATGTTGGAATGTGAGAGGTATTGGCAATAATCTCTCCCAAAACATGTTTACAATATTTGCAAAAGAAAAAAGATTCAAATTCTGGTTGTTCTTGAACCTATGGTGACTCCAGACTCTAATTATTTCTGCTGCAGACTGGGTTTCAAGTAGCTGTGGTCCAACAAATCCAACAAAATTTGGATTTTCCTTTCCAATGATTTTAAGATTGTTGTGGATATTGATCATGACCAAATTCTTCATATCAAGATCTCTTCACCAATGTTATCTGCTCATTTCTTCCTCTCAGAGATTTATGCCAAATGCAGCATTACACAGAGAAGAGAGCTCTGGGAGGTGATAAAAACCATTGCCCATGACTTAACTGCGACCCCATGGCTTCTTGGGGGCGATTTTAATGCCATCTCCGATATCTCTGAACGAGATGGCCCTGGTAGGACTAAAATCCGGTCTGCTAGAGATTTTAGTGATGCTATTTTGGAAGCTAACCTCCTCGATGCTGGTTTCATTGGCTCCCCATTTACTTGGACTAATAACAAAATTTGGGAAAGGCTTGATAGAGTGCCCTACAATAACACCTGGATGGATCTTTGTACTACCACGACGGTTTTTTACCTCCCTCGGAATGTTTCAGGTCACTCTCCCCTCCTCATCTCAGTTAAGCTCAATGCTCAGAGGTCTCAATCAGCTTTTCAGTTTCAACACATGTGGATAAAGCACCATAATTTCATGGAATCTGTGGAAAATAGCTGGAATGCTCCTTCGGGCTGTTTTGGGCAACTTAACCTCCACGTTAAGCTTAAAAGGCTTAAATTCCACCTCAAAGACTGGAACAAGTCTGTTTTTGGAAATATTTTTGCAATTCTTGCCAATGCTGATTCTAAAGCTGCTGAGAGTGAATTGGTTTATGATATAAATCCTTCTCAGGCCAACCTTATTGAAAAAAATAGATGCTTTGCAGAACTTACAAAGGCTATCAGTATGGAAGAAGCCTTTTGGAAATAAAAATCAGCTTGTAGATGGATTCTTGAAGGAGAAAAAAACTCAAAATTCTTCCATAATATGGTCAAAAGGAAAAGAGTCAGATCTCAGATTTTCTCTATCTCTGATAATGGTGAACCTGTTACTAACCCTTCGGATATAGCAGCCTCTGCTATAAATCACTTCAGCTCTCTTCTTACCCAAAATCAGCACGAAAGGCCTCCATATGATTTGGATTGGATTGATCCCTGTATCACAACTGAGGAGAACTCCCAGATGAAGGCGATTCCTACTGCTCAGGAAATTAACGAGATTTCATAGCTGAAATCTACACAGCGGGTTGCCCTAGGTTATGTTCAACATTTTTTTATCTTAATTATAATTGTGTCTTCTTAAAATTTTTCATCCTAACTGTTATGTTATATTTGACTGGATATATGCTTATTTATATTTTAGAATAATTGAAATTGAAGGGTAACCCTTGTTTAACTATTTCTAGAATTAAGTATGTATATCGAAACATGTGGCGTGTAACATCTATGATGCAGCCTGTTATATCAACAATTTGATCTTATTTTTTGCAACCTAAGGATGCATGTTGATCTTGCTATGCTCATATAGTGTGATATTACATGATTGAAACCACATTGTTTTGTTTCTTGCTAATCTCATACAACAATCATCGAAATCAATTTGTACAATTAATACCATGCACTTATTAATTGCAACAATATGTGAGTGCTCATTTTCCTTTTCTATAAACAGTTCATTGGGCTCCTGGAGGTTCTAAAGTTTTCCGAAACCCAGCATCACCTTCTGCGGTAAGTGATTGACAACTTATGTGGCTTATGTTCTAGGAATATTTCAGCATTCAACTTTCTTCAGCTATGGTTGTTGACATCTCATTTTGTTTATCTGATTTTGCATCTGCTGTTATGTAATCTTGGATAAATTCCTTAAATGTGTACTACCCTAGTCTCTAGATTTTGTATCTTCTAGCGGCAGAAAATTTTGAATACCTGGTAAAATTGGAGGTCATCTTATTTAAATCCTGCATGATTATGGGCTTCAAGTATCTCATTGTTCATTTGCAAACATCTAAATGGTTGAAAAAACTAACAGTATATTGTATAATGTATTTAATCCTTGTATCTTAGACTTAATTAGAGCCACGACCAGTTAGGATAGAGTTTAGATGATGAACATGATAATGACGATTTTAAACTTACAAAACACCTAAAATCAGGGTCGAAATAGATACATCAAAGCTGATTCTCATCTCAAATTTAAATAAACCGTTGGTATGAGACCCGACACATATTTTATGTAATAGTACATCCTTGCTGGTTTCATAAGAAAGATTTGCGACTATCGAAAAGTATTTGGCCATGTTTTTTATATTTGTTACTCCTGTTAGGGACGTACACAATGTCGGTTTTCCCGTTATATTGTGAAGATTTTGTGTTAGTTATGAATACACAATATGTGCCTTGCATAGAGACATAAATGTCATTTGTTTCTAAACAATGTGAATAACCTCGTTCTTCTTCTAAAACAAAGTATGCCCGTGGAAAAAATATGCATCATGGTTTGCGTATGTGTGTTAATTTTACATAGTGTCAAGATCCTAGAATTTATAGTGTCAACAACGGTCACTTATGATAAATTAATGAAGGAACTAATCCAAAGGCTTATGCTGCAGTTTCAGTCCCTTCATCAACATATAATACTAAAAGTGATATACATGTACCAATTCAATCCTACAATAAAGAATGGATATTGTAAAGTAGTGTATGTTTAACTTTTGTAGTAGTTTGTGCTATTTTTACTAAAAATGAGTGCATATTTAACTTGTGTTTTTTTTACAGGATACTAAATTATGGAGACAAAGGCGTGCAGTGTGAATTCAGGATAAGCAAACTTGAGTTTAACGGAAGGTCTGATTTCTTTTTAATGCATTTCCACAGTGCAAAGCTTCTAAGTGGTCTATGTTTTCGGGTGGTGGTGTAGTTAAGTGTTGTGTGCATTCCAAAAACTGATGAATGGTTGCTTTATTATTGAGTATTTGTGTAGCCCCGACCTGCACACAATAGGTTTTGATGTGATGAGGATCACTAACATATATTTTGATTTATCAGTGGTCGTTACTCTGAACTTGAACTCATCTGCGGGGGTCTGCTCGTATTTAGTGCATAAATGATAATTACTCTTCAATGGCATGATACTACAGCATATACATGGAGCAGTCCTATTTGTGGGTAACCATAAGGATTTATTAATTATTGAAATTATTATTTTAATACTATACATGATATGCTGCTCTAGGTTTTATTGGTGAATGGCTGGTTTATAGTTCGAGTTGCAAATGCATTGAAAATTAAAAAGTAGTGTAGTTTGGTGGTGCCTAATTAATGGGTCAAATACCATGTATCGTAGTACATGTCCGAATGTACATAGTCGTGGTATATAAGTTGGAAAATATACACTTCAAATGATTTGACATATTTATACATACAGTTTAATGTGTTGATATATACGGTGAAATACGTACTTTTAAATTGCTCTTGTGAATGTTGTAGGTATAACACTTTCCCTGGTCAAGGTTTTCTTTACATCCGCCGCAGTCCCGGACACACCCCTTATTTTGGCAACAATTGCTAGGGCGACTACCTTTCGCGAGGTGGTTGGTGAAGATCCTATTGAGTGGAACTATAAGGACGTATGGATCTACTTTTACAACTTTCACGTATTGACTTCCAAAATTAAAATAATTATTACTTAAACTAAACCTTATTCTGTTGGTAATTGCAGCTCATACGCCACCCCTGAGCATATCGACCGGTTCCTTTATGTTTTGCCTCTATTTGTATTATCAATTGCATGTCGTGGATGTGCTTGGATGGTAGGTTCTAATGGTATGTGAAATACCTATGGAATAGATGCAAGAAATTTGGATGTATCTTTTGTGTGGTAAGAATTGTTGCTATGGATTGATGGATTTCCCCACTTGTTTATTACTAGGTTGGATGTTTGAAATTCTTGTGTTTTGCGGAACATAATGATGATGTGGAGATGTTGCTAGCCTTGTTTGATGGGTTAATTTACTTTGTTGTTTGGTGGAGGACATCGACTAGTAAATATTGTTATGTTAATATCCTTTGTTGGGATTCCTTTATAGTGTTTATTATTTGCAATTATGCCCGATCATAATATTTATACCATGGTTGTATAAGAAAGATCACAACAGGTTAATTTGTTACGCACAAATTCAACTGTTCCACAACTACTCTTTTCTTATGAGACGCTATTTTTTCGTAATAAAAGTGAGAAATGACGTAACAAAATGTTGGTTTGGGTGTTTGTTGTTACGACTGGTTCTTTGACCATAAGAATGAATATTTTTGTTAAGGGTTCAATGGCGTAACAAAAAAATGAAATGATGTAACAAAAAGTGATTTTTGGACGTAACAAATATGAAGGGATATTTTTGCTACGGCCGGTTTCGTAACCATAAGAGTATATTGTGTATTACGGCTTCAATGATGAAACAAAAAAATCGTAACAAAAAGCATACTCTGACAAGCGATCATAGTAAATTTTTTGGTAACGCGAGGCACTGCTGTAACAAATATTGTGACTAAAAGACCTGGCACACGCGTGGAAAAGCTCGACTTTTTATTACAAGTGAATATTTGTAACAAATATCGTAACAAAAAGCTTGCCATAAGGAACGTTGACCGAGAGTAATAGTTACGAAAATGTGCGTGGCAAAAAACATTCGTTACGCGAGTACACATTACGGATAAAAGTCGTCACTAAGGCGTACCAGAAAATCGTTTTTTTGGTAGTGCATCTTACATAAAATGGACTAAAAAGGAAAAGAGGTCCATGGCGGGACCGATATGGAGTATTATTTTTCTTAAAGAAATATATATAATATTTAAATACTATTTAAATAAAAATTTAAATCAAACACTCATTTTCAAATTATTTTCAAATTACAACCAAACCAACAAAACAAACCTTAAATGAATAATATTTTCTATTATAAATTATTGTATTCTTTTTCTATTTTGTATTTTTGTTTACTAAAATATATTTGGTAAATTATATAATATCTCTTTGTGTTTTAGTTAAAATATATAAAATACCTCATATTTAATTTATTACATGAAACTCTTATGTGTTAAATTTATGTATTCATAAAATATTATTTTCGTCCAAAACTGATGTTTAATTAGAAATACAAATCTAATTATATAAATTTTATAAAACTAAAAAAGGTAAAATATGTTAAATATTTTTTTAATAAAATAAATAAATAATCAATCATTTTTTCTAATTTTTTTGACAACCTGTTGTTATCATTTTTATATAAAGAAATTATAAAATGAAGATGTGCCATTATTTATTTATTTATTTTATTCGATGCAAGAGATTTTATGCCATAAATCATTTAAGGGTTGTTCTCCAAATTTATTGTATTATTTTATAATTCGTATTCGTATATATCCAATACAAGAGATTTCACGCAATAAATATAATATGAAATATTTTGTGTATTTTTATTAAAATACAATTGAGTGTTATATAATTTATCATAATATTTTTGGAACATTTTATATTATCCATCTACAACATTTTTTTTTTAAAAAAAATATTATACTACCTCCGTCCCATAAAATTAGTATAATTTGTCTTTTGTGTCATTGTACCTTAACATTAAAAATATCATTATAGTTGTATTATAAGAAACTAATAGAGGTATTTTTTATCATTTTCTCTTAGATTTGTACTATGTATTGATATAATAATTAATATTCAAATATCAACATGCAGAAAACCCATGGTACTCTTCTTATGGGACGGAGATAGTATCAAAGATTTTTGACAAAATATTGTACAAATACTACTTTTCTATGTTTTTACTTTTTTTTAAAAAAAAAAATTAAGGTGTGTTTGTTTTGTGTTTTGATTTGGTTTGAATGAATTTTTTTAATATGAAATATAGGGAATCGTGTATTTAATATGAAAATAATAAACGTTTACTGTATTGTTACGTACAAATAATAATAATAATAATAAGGATAATGGTAGCAGGGTCTTAAAGGAAGTTCGGACAAGAGGAAGTCGGACAAAGGAGGCTGAGACGGACGATAAGGAGTTCGGACCAAATAAAGTCGGGCGAAGACGGAGGTCGGCTGATACGGAGTTCGGACCAAGTGGTTTGCCCTCAGTTGGTCTGCAGTCGGTTGGTCTACCGTCGGTTGGTTCGCCGTCGGTTGGTTCGAGGTCGGTTGGCCCGTGATCGGACCAAATGAGGTCGGACGGTCGGTTGATCCGGTCGGCTGATACGGAGTTCAGACCAAGTGAGGTCGGCTGATACGAAGGTCGGCTAATACGAAGGTCGGACCAAGTGAGGTCGGACGAAGAAGAATAAGACGGACGATACGAGGTCGGACAAGAGACCAGATGGTGGCCGCTTGGTGGGGCGGCCAAGGAGTCGTTTGGGTTTAGGGTTTAGGGCTGTGATAGCGGTTGCTGTAACCGACCAGATGATGGTTCAGAACGTTTCCTTAGGGAATATTTAAGGATTCGGGTTTGTTATGAAAAATCATCTTCAATCGACATCAAATTCAAGAGAATTTCTTTTGGGGATCACCACTTTACTTTTCCAGTCTGTAGTATTTAGTTTCCTAGTTTTTTTTATGTATCCTACAATGTCTAGAGATTCTTAATCTCAGGCATTCATTTTATCAAATTCGAAGATAATTTCTATTTTCGGATTTTACTTTTTATTGTTGAAAAATTGCATCAACAATTTGGCGACCACAGTGGGAGAAAGGCAAGATTGCTGATCCTACATCAACAGAGAATTTCATACGACTGAGGTCCGGCCGAATCATCAGAAGGATCCATATGGCAGACTCACAACCCCAAGTATCTTCAACACCGGTGGGAGAAACAATTTCACCATCTGCTATGCCGAATGCAAGGGAAGCACCACAAGTACCTGCCGATTGGGTGTCTTATGTTCAACATTTGAACAATCAGCCAACTTTAGTTCTACAGAACATGTTGCATGAGCAACAAAATCTAATCCAGAACATGTTGGATCAGGCGTTCTCCAAATTCACACTACATTCAAACATGTCTCCAGCCTTGTCACCTTCTCGCTTTCAGGCAACCTTTCCAGGATCAACGTTTGCAGGGCCAACATACGTTAATAGTATATTTCCAAGCGTTACAACTTTCAATCAAATAGATATGGGGAAGACTCCTCTAAGTTTCCCATATAATGTTCCTTTGGGACCAAGAGTTGATATTACTCAGCCGAATATCGTAAGGGAAGAGAGATTAGGAGGACATGCTCATAATCCCATGCCAGACGAGCCAACCGTCCCCAGAGAAGAGAGGTTGGGGGGACAGGCTCATATTCTCATTCCTGTATTCGATCCTGTTCCACCCAGAGTAGATCCGGAGGACATCGCTCAAGTTTTACGGGCGCATTTCGGAATGAACCCGCAAACGGTGAACCGACCGGCGTATCAAAGACCTTTTCCAGAAAGGATCATCGATGAGCATCCTCTCCCGAGAAATTATAGGCCACCAGACTTTCATGCTTTCTCTGGAGAAGATGGATCCTCCACCATAGAGCATGTGGGCGTTTTACAACACAGTTGGGAGAAGTCGGTAATAACCCTTTTTATAAACTGCAACTATTTGGTTTGTCTCTTACCAGAATAGCTTTTTCGTGGTTTGTCGATCTACCACCTAGAAAAATACAAACTTGGGAAGGTTTGGAAGTGACCTTTCATGCAAGGTTCTTTAATCCTCTTCCAACAGTCTCACTCACAGACCTTCTAGAGATCAGGCAAATGCTGGAGGAGACCGCCTACCAATTCATAGAGCGGATGCGATTAATAAAGGGATGTTGCCCGATAATCATTGAGGAGAGCGAGATGACCAATTTGGTGGTCAGAAATATGCATACACAACTGCGGGAGGCTTTCACGGCCCACGACGTTCAAGATCTGGCTAGTTTAGCATCCAAGGCTGGGAGGTTAGAATCCCTTTTTAGAGAAAATGATCACGACTTCTGTCAGGGGGAAGGTGCTGAAGAAATAGTAGTGCAAGATCGACCAACACGCAGCCCAGCACCAGTCCGCGATAAATGGAGGTCGGGTCCAACGTAGCCTCGAAAGATGAAGGTCGGATCTGAGGCTGACCTGGCCTCAGATGACGGCCTGCTAACTCCTAAACATCACAAGAAGTGACGCTTAGGAGTCTTGAGGAGGAGGCAAGTTGTCACGTACAAAAAATAATAATAATAATAAGGATAATGGTAGCAGGGTCTTAAAGGAAGTTTGGACAAGAGGAAGTCGGGCAAAGGAGGCTGAGAGGGCCGATAAAGAGTTCGGACCAAATAAAGTCGGGTGAAGACGGAGGTCGGCTGATACGGAGTTCGGACCAAGTGGTCTGCTGTCGGTTGGTCTGCAGTCAGTTGGTCTGCTGTTAGTTGGTTCGCCGTTGGTTGGTCCGAGGTCGGTTGGCCCGTAGTCGGACCAAATGAGGTCGGACGGTTGGTTGATCCGGTCGGCTGATATGGAGTTCGGACCAAGTGAGGTCGGCTAATACGGAGGTCGGACCAAGTGAGGTTGGGCGAAGAAGAATAAGACAGACGGTACGAGGTCGGACAAGAGACCAGATGGTGGCCGCTTGGTGGGGTGGCCAATGAGTCGTTTGGTCTAGCGATCAGTTAGTCTCTGGATTGGTCGGTTGGGTTATGCTGTTGGCGAGACGGTTAAAGACACGTGTCAATGAAGGAGAAATTGATGGGCGGGTGATAGCGGTTGTTGTAACCGACCAGACGACAGTTCATAATGTTTCCTTAGGGAATATTTAAGGATTCGGGTCTGTTCTGAAAAATCATCTTCAATCGACATCAAATTCAAGAGAATTTCTTTTGGGGATCACCACTTTACTTTTACAGTCTGTAGTATTTAGTTTCCTAATTTATTTATGTATCCTACAAT